ATATATATATATAAAGATGATGGGAAACATTCAAGAAGTGGAAAGTGCTTGTATAACGGGAGAGTATATTTCTGGTAAAGATTCCGTGTCATTTTGTAAATTAAGTCCATTCTTTTGTTTCTTTATAAAAATTATCTCGGAATCTTTTGTTATAAGATGGTTCCCTATCTAAAATTCTGACCTTGTTTCAATCCAAATTATAATTAAGAGGCCGCTAATTAGATATGACATTAGATTGGTAAGTCTGAGTTTTTATTAATATCCGACGAACGCTCTATAGTTCTTGTTTTTAATTGCTTTTTTTGTCTGACCAATGATGCATCACAATCATGAGATCCTATAGATAATATCATGCTGTTATCTCAAGAGTATCTTTTTCAATTGTGATGTATTTTTTCAGAGTGTTCGAAATCGTAAATGCAGGCTTCTGTCTATGTTGGAAAAAGATTCTGAAATGATCCTTACAAAAGATACAGTTAAGTTACTTATTATACTCTCTCACATGATTTTTGATGGTCTTTCTATTGTTAGAATGGAACTTAATTCTCATTTGAATTGAAGAAAGGAATATCCGCGATAAAAGGAAGATATCCTTGATAAAAGGAAGAGGATATCCGTTTCTTAACAAAACTTGTAATATTCATATACTAATATCAGTAATATTCTTAAAATGGAATGGTGAGATAAAAAGAAAATTTTGTCAAATAAACTAAAAATTATACCTCTTTGTGAAATCAATGCTTGAGCTCTTTCACAATTGCAAGGATCACGATTGCGAGGATCAACCTCACGGTGTTCTTTTGAGTAACTCTTTCTTGCTGGCACACTGGAACCTTCGTTGGACTGTTCTAAAGTCGTATATTTTGCCACAATGTCATAAATGGTTGATCTCAGATATCCAAAGAATCGAATTATTTCCATTGCTGAGCGCCTAGCGCGAAGACCTTCGATGATCGCAGGTCTTCGATTATATTCCGCACTTGATTTCAACATCGCGATTTTGAGAATATTACTATTTATTAGAAGCATCAGGCTTTTTTGAACGCCAAACAACAACCTCTGGCGAGTCAGAATTCCTTGGACCAAAATATATCGACGTTGTCTATAAAAATATAGCAGAAAATTTAAATTGAAATTTGTCCGGATTTTGATGACGTATCCTGTATATGTGTTCTCAATAAAACATGTTGGTTTCTCTTTCAAATAACATGCGTATCTAAAATGTTATGAAGACATTATAAAGACCTATTTTGGGACATATTTATGTCTAAAATTTATCAAAAAAAACATATAGCTGTCTTTAGATAATATACATTCATTTTTGTTTGAATCTTTCTTTTTTCTGTTATGTTAAAATATTTATAATTTATGAATTTTTACCTTCTATATCTTCTACCAGAGCAATAAGTACAAAACAAACTGAAGCACGCATCTTGCTGATTTGTTACCTGGAATGAAATAAATAGATGCATTCGCAGGTTATATATATATATATATATA